CTCCCCCAAAAGCTCGACACTGCCCCCCCCCCCCCCTGGGGAGGCAAACAAGATGGGGTAAACAAACAGTAGCCCTGCGTGGCCCTGGGGCAGCCCCGGCGCCCCTGGCCCCGGCGCACACAGCCAGCGCCGGCGTGGCCGGAACCGGGTAGGATCGGGTAAAACCTTTAGTATCGTCGAGGACACGGTGTACACCGTAGTCGAAGAAAAACGAAATCCGGCCGAGTTTGCCTACCGTCGCTCACCACCACCGCGACGCCATACCGCCCGACCGGGTAGGCAACCCGCCCACATCCCTGCATGCTGTACAGTATCGTGGGGTTAATCAGCCACCTGGTACTTTCTGCACTCGGCGATTGCGGCGATCATGGCCAGTTGGCAAAACAACGTGTGACGGATGGGCAGGACATACGATAACGACTGTTTTCATTGTTTTCCGTCTTTTTATTAGTCAGCCTCGGGCCCTGTCCGTCCACCCGTCCCGTCACGCAAGTTTGCAGGGCTTTAAATCTTGAACCAACCATGATAGCAAAATACGTCCGTCAGTCGCCTTTACGAACATGCCAAGTTCAGCTTGAGCACGCTCTCATATCGCCTGACAGGTAGGCAATTTCTTGCCTAGAGTGCATGCGTGTACTGCGGGGCGGCCTACCCCAAGTATCGCAGGCGCCGAGCTCCCGTAACAGGGTTATTCACCCAGTATAAACCGGATCCAATGAGTAAGAACAGTAATGCTTCCTGAACTGTTTCCTCCCTGACGCTCATTGGCTGACGCAGACGAAGTTCGTGGATCTGCCACTGATATGCGACTGCTGTAGTGACGGGTAACTTCGTCCGTGTCAGTCCATGAGCGTCAGGGAGGAAACGGATCAGGAAGCATTAATGTTCTCCTTTGGACCCGGTTCAAACTAGGTGAAATACCCTATTTGCCGATAGAGTCTGAGAAAAGCGGACGTATACTTTCTAGAAGAACTCTAATAAAGCCGCCTAAGATTTCCAGCTGGTAGTGGATGTGACATCATTATCAGAATTTTAAGTCTACTCAAAGAGGCCCGAACAGGGAAGATAAAAAAGTTGTCTAAAACTCCCGTCCGTCACGCTTGGTTTTGCCCCAGCACTGGCGCGTGTAGTGCCAATGCACTTAGGGCAGCCCAGCCAGCCACTCAACGCCGCCGCCACGTCAAATAAATGAATGCAAATTTTATGAGTATCGAATTGACACGCTCCGGCGCCCCCTCGATCGCGACGTACCGCCGGTCATGGCGGCGATGAGATGGGGTGCGGGGAGAGAAGGGGGTGAGGCAATGCATGCACATGGAGCAGGGCAAGAGAAAAGGGGGGGGGGTGAGTGGGCTTCAAGCGAGCGGCCCCCCCAAGGCCCATGGAGTGCAGGCACGGCCATGCCCATGGGCACGGCCTCACGACGACGACGACCGTCTTCTCTTGTTCCAGGCGGCTGCTGCGGCGAGACTCCACCCGACACCGGGGCACAGCTCCGATAAGGAAGAGGACCGTCCGCCGCACACCATGGTCAGCAAGGCGGTTGACAACCGCAACGGCCACGAGCTGGCGCCCCTGCGCTCGGGGGCCGGCGGGGCGGGCGGGGCCGGTGGCGGCGTGCTCGGCCCCCAGGCGCAGGTGGCGGTGCCGTCGGCGGCGCAGGCCGACCCCTCCGGGGTCACCATCGTCGTGACGCACGCGCCGCCCCAGCACCGCGGCTCCATCATCAGCAGGGCCTCGGCCGGCCCCGAGCGCGCCGCCTGGTCCAACAAGATGCAGTTCTTCCTCTCCATCATCGGCTACTCGGTGGGGCTGGGGAACATCTGGCGCTTCCCCTACCTCTGCCAGCTTCACGGCGGCGGTGAGTACTATCGCCACGCTATAAGCCCGGTAAAGGCCCCCGTGCGGCAAAAAGTTTCCGCGACATGTTCGAAACTGAAACGTGAACAAGTTTGTGACTGACAGTGCGACAGCAGCGGGCCCCGCACCAGTGCCAGGTGCGCAGCTGTCGTGCGGACGACGCGCAGGGCCCGAGCCTTCCACCCCTAACCTGCAATCACCCCCACCCTGCCCTGCGCACCGCGCCGTGCCGTGTACATCTCTCGCTCTCTCATCCCGCTCTCCGCCCCCTCTCCCTCCCCTCCACTCCCCTCCTCCTCCCTTATTTGTACCTACTACTGGACGCCCACGCAGCCGCGGGGATCGATACACATCCTCGACCCGCTGCAGCAGAGGGAGAGATGAGGCCGAGAGAAAGAGAAAGGCTCTTGCCGTAGGGAAGGGAGAGAGAGAGAGAGGTTTAGGAGAGGTAGGGGAGAGGCAGAGAGAGAGAGAGAGCGAGAGATCGAGAACAGCGGGGATGGCGGCGAGAGGGGAGAGCCACTCCATTCATGCCATTCGGCTGCTCGCTCCCACGCGCCTTCTCCCCCAAAAGCTCGACACTGCCCCCCCCCCCCACCTCGCCCAGCTCCTCCTCTTGGTTCTCCCTGGTACCCCCTGGTACCCATGTCGAAAACAAGCGCGCTGGCGCCACAGGGGCGGGAGCAGAAGGAAGGGGTGGTGGGGGTTCGGGGAGGTAAACAAGCCGCCACGGCGGCGGCGCTGAGACAGCGGAGGAGGATGTGGGGTTGTGGGGTACCCGCACCCGCGGGAGCGGTTGGGGGTTGGAGGGGGTGCAGGGGTGGTGGTTGGAACCCTCCCAAAACCCGTGTTATTCTGTCGCGCGCCGCGTCACCGAGGACCTTGCTTGCGCCGCGTGCGTCCCCGGGAGGAGCGGCACGGCGGCGGCGGCTGCGGCGGGGGAATGACCAGCGCAAGGGGGCGGCGCGGGGGTGTGGTCGCGTGACGTCACGGGGGCGCGGCGGCGGACGCGGCGTCTGCCGAGCGGCGCGGGGGCGGCGCCGGCGCGGGAACGCGGGCCGCGAAGGGTCTCGTATAGTGGGCTCGGCCGCGGGGGCCTGCCTGTCGTCGCCGCCCCCGCGGCCCGTCCGTCTGCCCGCCCGCCTGCCGCCTCCGCCCCCAGCAGGGGCGGCGGGCGCCCGCGGCCGTAGTCAATCACGAGCGTATTGATCACCGCAAAGAGCAGCCAAGAGGACAAAGCGTGCTATCGACGAGGCCGCGCCGGAAGCGCGTGGGTCGCTTGCTTGCTTGGCCTTTGAG